AAACAGCTACTTGCATCACAAATTATTGTAATTATAACAAAGTAATTTACATTTCTAATGACCCTGCATCATGAAGAAAACATAAAATTAAATGGCACTTAATCTATTTAAGAGGACTTAAAGAAATAATTATCACGAATAATTTTTTTTTTTTTTTGAGACGGAGTCTCACTCTGTTGCCCAGGCTGGAGTGCAGTGGCCATCTCAGCTCACTGCAACCTCTGCCTCCCAGGTTCAAGCGATTCTCCTGCCTCAGCCTCCCGAGTAGCTGGGATTACAGGTACACACCACTACGCCTGGCTAATTTTTGTATTTTTAGTGGAGATAGGGTTTCACCATGTTGGCCAAGCTCATCTCAAACTCCTGACCTCAAGTGATCCACCCGCCTCAGCCTCCCAAAGTGTTGGGATTACAGGTGTGAGCCACCATGCCCAGCCAGTCTTCTGCTTTTAAGAATGATTATTGTAAATTGCCAGCAAAAGTAGTATAAACATTATTAACTAGAGGGGTGGGAAAACTTGGAAACTCCAAGATTTGGAGTCCATTTCTATGGCACTGGCAAGAAAAAAAAAAAAAAAGTAAGTAATTTTTTGTAAACCAGAAAGTGTGGTTACTTGAAAACAGGAAATACTAAAAACAAACTTATTTAAGTGTGTATAGAATACTTCAGAGTATAAAGATGTAAAGGCAAGTCAACAGAAAAGTGTTTTCTATATGATAAGTGTATGGATTACAAAAACACTGGAGTACTTAATGTATTCATCATATTGCTTAGCAATCACTAACAAGTGACTTTTTCTTCTAGCTTGCCAACAACATTTGCAACTTTGGATATTGATGGTGTAAGAAAAATAATCTTTGCACTACCTGGTAAGAATAAAAAATTGTTTCCTTTGCTTTTTCTGGAAAAATAGCCAAAATTTTTTGGACTTCTCTTGTGACCAGTACCCTATTAGACCACCTAGTTTGAAATCTGAAAGACCTGGGCTCAAGTCTCAGCTTTTCTAAACGACCAATCACTTAACCTCTCTAGGAAGTTTCTTCACCTGCAAAATAAGACTAATATCTACTTCATAGGGTTGATGTAAAATCAGATTAGATAATATATATCAAAGCACATTCCAAATCCTGAGATGATAATCAAGTGTTAGCTGTCACTGGATCTTTCTGGGGCACCTGCTTTTTCCTTGTAGGAAACTGGTCGAAGTTAGCAGCCTAATACCTCTCATAACCAGAAGTATTGTGCTCTAGAGGCCAAAGTGCCTTGAGTCACCCATGCCAATACCAAATCAGAAAATACAAAGCTGCCTCTGGTCCTTGCCAGATTTGGGCTGGTTGAGGGGAGGGGGAAGAGGAAAGGTCAGGCTACTACTGTTACTAGTGCTTCTCAGCCAAATCCCACTCATCATCTGTCTACAACTTCCCCATTCCCACGCTTGCCCCAATGTGAGCAGAAACTTACATGTTCAGATTATAGAAAGAGCAAAGCGGGTTCAGTTCACACGGATTTTCAAATTCAAATTTTTAGTGATTTGGGGTTATATATTTAAAGTCATGATGAATCTTGATAAATTTGAAAAGAGTCTAAAAGTTTTATGCATCTATTTTTTTTTAACTTTAAAATTATCCTCTGATCATTCTGTTCAGTTCTCTATTTTTTGGCACAGATTCCTTTAGAAAATAACTTATTTATTTGAGATTTACAAATCTCATGGCTTTGGGATATTTATTTGTTTTTTATGTCAAGTAAATCTCAAAATGGAAATGTAAAGAAATGGAAGCAGGCAGAAAAATGTTAAACTTTAAAAACATTTTAAGCCCCTATCTATAAGCATTAAAGAGATTAGATTTCTATCATATAGAAAATTTTCAGAGAGAGGACATTTAAGTAAAATAGTCCTCAGAATGTATCTGTAACATGAAACTCCTTAGGACCTTTCGTAATTCCTTGGATGCTCTGATAGCCATTGTATAAAGAAATGTGCTCCTTTTCCTAGCTTCATTTGGCCTGGAAGGGCCTCTTTTGTCTGCAGAAGATATGACTTAACCTACAGACCATCAGTGATATTATAACAAAGAATGTTACTGTGGGAGCCTATTTCACCATTATGCCAAAGATGTTATAAAATTAAAACCTATTTTCAAATTCCTGCTTTTAATTTGAAAGCTTATCTGCTCAGCCTGAGTGAACCAACAGAGGGCAGTGGAAACTCACATGTTCAGATTGTAAAATGTGCAAAGTGGTTCCGTTTACAAGGATTTTCTTGCTTCTCTTGGTGTTTTTGTTGTTGTTGTTGTTTGTTTGTTTTTGCGAGTTTTTTTGAGACAAGGTCTGGCTCTGTCGCCTAGGCTAGAGTGCAGCAGCGCGATCTCATCTCACTACAACCTCTGCCTCCTAGGCTCAAGCCATTCTCCCACCTCAGCCTCCCAGGTAGCTGGAACTATAGGCGCTTGCTATTACCTCTGGCTAATTTTTGTATTTTTTGTAGAGACGGAATTTCGCTATGTTGCCCAGGCTGGTCTCAACTTCTGAGCTCAAGCCATCCACCCGCCTCAGCCTCCCAAAGTTTTGGGATTACAGGCATGAGCCACCATGCGCAGCTTTACAAGGATTTTCCATTTCAAAACTGTATCTCTGCTTTCCTGCAGGCCATGCATTTAAAGCCATCCCTAATCTTGACAAGTTTTAAATCAAAGTTGTGTATATTTACTTGCTTTATTTGACATTTTTAACATTGCTAGAGTGATGCTCACTGTTGTAAAAATCAGAAAATACAGATAAGCATTAAAAAGTGTTAACCATAATCCCCCAACACACACATATAGATAAACCACTATTACAAGTTTTTGATATCAGTCCTTCCAATCCTTTTTCATACATAGCAAGACCCCGCCTCTAAAATAATTGGAGCGCTTCATTTTTTATACAGTAATGTTATAAAGTAGTAGTATTGTAAGGATTTTATAATCCTTGATGAACAATGGCTTTTTTATTTGTTTGGGTTTTTGTTTTGCTTTTCCAGTAAAAAATATTCTATCTGCTTGTATTTTGAAGCAAGGGAAAGTAATTGATTCTTTTATTTAAGAGTCTGCTGTTCTGTGGACAACTCATTTTTCCATTGAAATTATTAGTATCACTTGTCACTTTTTGCACCTTAAAAAATCTATTCTTAAGCACTTTTGTAGGTAGAAGAGAATTGGAGGTATGATTATAGCTAATAATAGGCTAAACTGACCATTGCCTTTTGACTTGATGATGTAATAAGCAGTGTTTAGCCAGGCCAAGGGAACCTAAAAATCTAGTAGCCCATTCCCCACTCCAGGTGATACATTCATACTTACATAGAACTGTATAAAAGTATGAAAACAATTGGAATTTTAGAACCAGAAGAGATGTTGAGAATCATGTAATCCAAACCTTTCATTTCATAGATGAGTAAAGTCAGACTCAAAAAACTTTGGAACTTGCCAAGATCTCACAGCTTGGTTAGATAATAATGCCACACAAGAAATCAAATCTGTTATTTACAGCCCAGGTGGTTGCTTCTTCACAGCCCACCCTTCCTCCTTTGAAGTGTATGACACACCTAGATTTCTTCTTGGAGAGATATAGTTGAATTCCTTAAATTCTTCTCATAACTTTAAAAGAATTTGGTATTTGTATTAGTCTGCTCAGGCTGCCATGACAGAATACCACAGACTGGGTAGCTTTTTTTTTTTTTTTTTTTTTTTTTTTGAGACAGAGTCTCACTCTGTCACCCAGGCTGGAGTGCAGTGGCACAATCTCAGCTCACTGCAAGCTCCACCTCCCAGGTTCACGCCATTCTCCTGCCTCAGCCTCCCGAGTAGCTGGGACTACAGGTGCCCGCCACCACACCCGACTAATTTTTTTATTTTTAGTGGAAACGGGGTTTCATAGTGTTAGCCAGGATGGTCTCGATCTCCTGACCTCGTGATCCGCCCGTCTCGGCCTCCCAAAGTGCTGGGATTACAGGCTTGAGCCACCGCGCCCGGCCGAGTTATAGCTTTATCATATGAATTCAATCCATAACAGTATTCATCTTCAGGTCCTTAAGACACATCTTAAATCATTTGTTTGGTGTTTTTTTTTTTTTAATTTAAAGGAATATCTAGGTAGAGAAGGTTATAAATAAGTTTCCTTATGTTTATATTTTCTCAGTTTGGGTACCAAGCTTGTAATACTATAGTAATTTTTAAATGCTTAAAAAATAGCAAATAGATATATAAAACTTGTAAACGGCTTTAAAACAAGATTAGTAATGAGTAATCTTGATAATAACATTAGTAATGGCTTTCAACTGGCTCAGGAAAGCAAAAACAAATGGTGTTAAACAGCTTCTAGGCAGCAGAATTCTCCATTTTACTGAAAGACGCAAATGTTTATACCCCCTGTGGCATTTAGTTGACTATACCTCTGTTCTAGTTGGATTCAAGGTGATTCAGAAGAGGAAAAATTGTGCCTAGTCACTTCCGTCACATTCTGATACCCGAAGATATAGACAGACATAACTATTTGGCAAATTGTTACACAGTGTATTATAAATAACTGCTTGGTTGACTTTCAGGGAATCCTGTATCGGCTGTCGTCACCTGCAATCTCTTTGTTGTGCCTGCACTGAGGAAAATGCAGGGCATCTTGGATCCTCGGCCAACCATCATCAAAGCAAGGGTAATGCTTTCTAATGACCAGAAACCAAAATGGAAGCCTGGTAACAGTGATATAATTTCCTAACTGTCCAAAATAAACATCTAGAGTTTTCTATTTGTTTTGATGGAAAATGTGATTATATTCTCCCCTGTGTACTAGAAAATGTAGGGGAAAGGATCCCTTTTATTCTCTTCCTTCATGACTTCTAAAGTGAATCATTTTCTCCAGATAGAAGTCCATATACGAGTCCAGAGAGCACGGCTTAAAAACTTGAGCGATGCTTAAGGACAACACAGTTAATAGGATATATCTGGCTCTACCCTAACACTAGACCTGTCTGGAACAAGGGAGAATTTTCTTTTCCCCACGCAAACTCACAGGGATAGCAATTAACCTGCTCACTTTTTCGGTGACTTCAACGATAAATTTTAAACAATTCAGAAGAAGACAAAGGACTGGAAAGAGATCCTGATAATTCAGCAGGGAAAGGATAACCATATTGTTTGGAAGAGAACTGCTAAGGCTGAGAAATATGCCATGGTAAAAGTCACTTGGAAATTAGGTCTCCTTCTCCACCAACACTAACTTCAATGTGATTTACTACTACTCAACTAATTATGTTATACACTTTCTGTGTGACTAATGAATAATGTTCTTAGCAATATAAACTACAGTACCAAACCATTACTTTCCAAGAGTTCCAAAGTAAATTCAAATATGGCAAAATGCCATGATTAGTTGACAGGAAGAACAAAAAACATAACAGATAAAATATTAGGCCAGTCTCAATGGCTCGCACCTGTAATCCCAGCACTTTGGGAGGCCAAAGCAGGTGGATCACCTGAAGTCAGGAGTTTGAGACCAGCCTGGCCAACATGGTGAAACCCCGTCTCTACTAAAAGTAGAAAAAATTAGCTGGGCGTGGTAGTGGGTGCCTGTAATCCCGGCTATTCAGGAGGCTGAGGCAGGAGAATCGCTTGAACCCGGGAGGCGGAGGTTGCAGTGAGCCAAGATCGTGCCATTGCACTCCAGCCTGGGAAACAAGAGCAAAACTTCATCTCAAAATAAAAATAAAAACATAAAATGTTAAAAAAAATATATTACTCTGAGAATACGTAGGATAAAAACATTAAGAAAATCTAAGGCCGGGCGCGGTGGCTCAAGCCTGTTATCCCAGCACTTTGGGAGGCTGAGACGGGTGGATCACGAGGTCAGGAGATCGAGACCATCCTGGCTAACACGGTGAAACCCCGTCTCTACTAAAAATGCAAAAAACATTAGCAGGGCGTGGTGGCGGCGCCTGTAGTCCCAGCTACTCGGGAGGCTGAGGCAGGAGAATGGCGGGAACCCGGGAGGCGGAGCTTGCAGTGAGCTGAGATCCGGCCACTGCACTCCAGCCTGGGCAACAGAGCGAGACTCCGCCTCAAAAAAAAAAAAAGAAAAGAAAAGAAAATCTAGGCTTTCAGTAGTCTGAACATTGACTGTTTAAATGCTAAGAACTTTGTGGACTGGGATATGAAACAATCTCCTTAAAATTTCATGAAAAATTTAACTAGATTTTTTTTAATAATCACAGTGGTAATCAAATTTGAAATTAAGTGGAAAAAGAAATAAAAATCATCCATGAACAAAAAGTATTCTGATCAAGTCAGAAGTCAGAGTCACAAAGCTTAGATTTAGACAGTCAAACCAGTAATACTGAATTTACTATCTTCATATTTACTTAATTAAGGAAATAATTCACATTATTATAAGAGAGAGAGAAAGAAGGCTTCCCTTTGACTTTGCAGATCTCTTATGAATCCTTTCATTTATTTCTTATTGTAACATCCACCATCTCTTCTTTAAAACAGACATTGTGGCAATCGTCTGTTCTGACAACAAAGATGAGATGGTACTCTATAATCAGACTGATGCTTGATATGTTGTTCCGGATGGTGCCCGTTTCCTGTCAGCAAAGGATATTGAGAAGTGGTCAAAAAATCAGTCAACTGCCTTTCTCTCATGGCAGTGTCATTGGGACTGCCAGTATGGGTCATCAGTATGCTTGGCTATTTGTTTCTTTTGCTTCTCAGCTTTCCAAATCACCCCCACATCAGTACTGACACAACAGACACTTTAAAACATAAACATGTACTTCCTTGAAACGTGGTAAGTCTTATCTCTCTTTTCTGACCATAAAAGATGCAGCTTACCCACACCACTGATTACTGTTCTTCAGAATAGATGCCACAGCCATTGCCTTTACCATTGTTTGCTGCTTTCAGGAAGTGGGAGTCAGTGTTAAAGGCTGCTGTTGGTAAATCATACTGTTGGACTCTGATGTGGCCATTCTATGTGTCAGTGCAGAAAATGTCATCCTTGCTAGGCACAGTGGCACTCGCCTGTAATCTCTGATACTCAGGAGGCTCAGGCAGGAGGATTGCATGAGGCCAAGTGTTTGAGACCAGCCTGGGCAACATAGCAACACCCTGCCTCTAAAAAAAGTAACAAAAATAAAATGTAAAAAAATTAATGAAAATAAAATGTCATCCTTTTATATCAAAGCATTCAGAAGAGCATCAGTTTAGAACAAACGTTTCCCTTATTTCCTGGGTCACTTAGGTTGGAGGTGAAAATCTTCTCATTTTCAATACACAATAAGAAACACTTCCAAAGCATCTGGTAAAAAACAAAAAAAGGAAGGAACACAATCCTAGCAATTCATCAAATAGGATTATTGACCCCGTGTTTCCATGCAAGGACATTCTATCATGTGTTTCCTTAATATCCCATTAAAGCACTCTATACCGCCCTTGTTACCAACTTTCTTTGCTAGAAACATACCTGGAGTAACTCCTATTGATATTAACAACTTAGGCAGTGATTAAGAGACAGGAAAGGGGGAAAGCATGTTCTAGAAGATAGCCAACTATAAGTCCCTCATGCCCATCCCCCTCACAAACACAGCCAGAACAATGAATAAATAACTGCATTTTAATGGAAAAAAAACTGAAGAAGAGCAGCCGAGTGTATCAGTGGAGTAAGAGAAACCCTGGTGAGCACAGAAACTCAGGATGGTCACATAGAGAACAGAAGGAAACACCAGGCCTCCACCATCACATCCCCCAGCTGGATCAGCTGGGAACCAGGAAGAACTCCCTTGGCAAGGAGTTAAGCAGAGGATCCCAGCAACCCCCATCAACACTTTGGACACCTACAGACCTGACGGGGATACCCTGCGGTCCTCACAAGCATGAAGCCCAGCTGAAAGAACTTCCTGGAGTCCACAGAGCTATGCTCCCCCCAGGAAAGGAGCCAACGCTGTGTGCCGACCTATGTGGCCTGTGCAGCTGCTGCACTTACACCATGTTGGAATTGGAACTGTGGCTAGAGTTTTCTTGCTCTGGGAGCAAGTAGTCACAGCACCCCTTCATCCCCAGTGCTACCCCAACACTGCGGCCTGACATCCACAGCAAGCAGCTGTACAACTTTCCCAGTGGAGCCAAATAGAGGTGGAGCTACTCCACCTAGCGCCCCTCACATCCCCCTCAGCCAGAGCTAAAGCCATATACTGCCTCCTAGGAAAACAGTATCTTGGCTGCTCAGAGCAATCATGCCTCCCTAGGTTCAGTCGTCTACTAGCCTAAGTTGAAGCAGCACCCAGCATCCCAGGAAATGGTGCTTTTGCTGCCCAAAGTAATCATGCAGTCTAGTACCTAAGCTAAAGCAGCACCGTCTATCCCAGAGAAAAGGTGCCAGAGCCACCCAGTACAGTCATGTCCCCAAGGCCTGAGCTGAAGCAGCACATCACCCCCTAGGAAACTGGTGCCCTGGCTGAACTGAGCAACTGGGCATCCAGAACTATGCCAAGGTAGTACCCACAACCCAGGGAAACGGAGGAGTGGCTGAGCTGAGACACCTCATCCTACAGGTCAAACAACTTCCTACTCTCCTTTCCTGAAGCTAGACTAGCCCCCTAGTGTCTGAGCAGCTGAGAAACACCTCTTCCTAGGATGTACAGTCATTGCTATGCTGTTTACTGCCCCCACCCCAGGGCCCAAATGACAGCTGTGCCCCACCAGTCTGGATTACTTATTGCTGCTGCACCTGGCTGCACAAAGTCTGGGATTCTACCAAGCCCCACCAGCACAGGGTCTAGGGTCACTACTACACACCGCCTTATCCCCTGGGACCTAGGTTGCCAATAAGCCCTATTGGCTCAGGTTCCTAGATAGCAACGATAGCCTGCTCCCTAGGCCAAAACGTCCAGGGGCAACCCTTCTTCTCTGGAGTCAGGCCAGAGCTGTGCCCTGCCCTACAGGGACCGAATCATAGCTACAACTCAGCCACCTGAACCCAAGCTGCTAAGGGGTACCCAAAGTCACAGACCCTGGCTCTGTGGACAACCTACACCCAAACCTACCAGAGACCCTCAGACCCAGGTGCCACAATAGGTTCACAAGACCCTGAACCTAGGACCCTGGCCGCACATCCACTCTAAGCACCTGTACCAGGAACCCAGTGCTCCAGTAGGCCTTCTTGTAGGCCATGTCAGATTTGACACAAAGAGGGATCTCCCTAGGCTATATCTTCCCATTGTGGAGAAAATAAGAATAAGGAAGACACTAAAAGCCCTTAACACTGAATATTAGCAACCTATGCCGCCACCACCACCACTTCCACAAACTTCCATGGACTAGGTAACTGAGGCACCCACAGTTACTGCTCGCCCTGAATGCACCTGAAGATGCTGCATGGAAACTATACCACTATACCTATTGAAAAAGTCACCACACCCTTCCCAACTGGCACACTAAAACCCAACTGCAAATGAAAGTCTTTTTCTATGGAAACAAGAAAGACTGGAAGAAAGAATAGTTCCACCAGGTGCACAGATTAATGCAGGCTCACAAGAAACACAAAAAAGCAACCAGCTATGATAACACCAAAGGAACATAATGGGTCTCTAGTAACAGAACCAAATGAAAAGAAAATCAATGACCTGCTAGAAAATAAATGCAAAATAATTATCTGAAGGA